TAATATCACTGGAACCCAATGGTTTATCTCCTTTGTTTATGATCATTCTAGAATCACCTGAATATTTCTCATGAAAGAAAAATTTGAGGCAGGACCAATTTTTTAAAAATTCACTCAATGATCCAAACATAATTCTTAGCCAAAGTTTAGATTTTCAGAACTGATAATGCCAAGGAATACTTTCATTCTATTATTGGGAATTACCTTCTTGATTATGGGATAGCCGAAAAGAAAAACCGACACCTTTTAGAAGTTGCTCGTTCTATTATGCTCACAAGTCATGTCCTTAAACACTTTTGGGGCGAAACTATCCTTACTGCTGCCTATCTCATTAATCGGATGCCTTCAAGAGTCTTGAAATTCCAAACTCCATACCAAGTACCCACACAAGTCTACCCACAATCCAGACTCATCTCATCATTACCACTAAAAATCTTCGGTTGCTTAGCATTTGTCCACATACCACCTCATTAGAGGAGCAAACTAGATCCCATAGCCATAAAATGCCTATTTCTCGGATACTTCTCTCACCAAAAAGGTTACAAATGCTACTCTCCCACTACTCGGAAGTTCTATAACACCATGGATGTAACTTTATTTGAGAATCAGCCTTTTTACTCCAAAACTCATATTCAAGGGGAGAATTCTATCGTGCTAGAAGAATATCAATTTTGGCAAGGTGTGAATATCTCCGTGCCTTCCATCACCTCAAGTTCACCTACTTCGAGTAACACCACCACACATCCAATTGCGCCTATCCTACTTAAGTCAACATCTAAACCTGTTCATTCTGAACCCACTCCAAACAGTCCTCAGATTCTGACTCAAAAAGAAAAATAAAAAATATTTAAAGAGATTGTTTACTCAAGAAAGCAGACAGCTCCAAAGGATGGTGGATCAATTCACTTTTCCTGAACAGAACCAAGCGTCTGCTTCAAATCCAGTCACTTTTACTCAAGGTAACATAGATTCTTATCCTAGTAATGATCTTGATATTCCTATTGCTCAAAGGAAAGGTGTTAGGTCCTGCACTCGGCACCCGATCTCAAACTTTGTGACATAGAGAGATTATCTCCCTGTTACAGCGCTTTTACCTCGAATCTGTCCAGCATAGACATTCCAAGCTGCATACAAGAGGCTCAAAAGCACCTTAAATGGAAGGAAGCAGTTAATGTAGAAATTCAGGCTCTTATGAAGAATGGTACTTGGGAACTCACAGAACTTCCTAAAGACAAACAACCTGTGGGATGCAAGTGGATATTCAATCTTAAGAACAAGGCAGATGGAAGTGTTGACCGATATAAGGCGAGACTTGTAGCCAAGGGATTCACTCAAATCTATAGGATTGATTATCAAGAAACATTTGCTCCGGTTGCTAAGTTAAACACAATCCGGTTCTTCTATCCTTGGTAGTCAATTTGGATTGGCCTTTTCATCAACTTGACGTCAAGAATGCATTCCTTAATGGAGACTTGGAAGATGAAGTCTACATGAAGATTCCTCCTGGTTTTGAGAACCCAAGCAATATCAACCGTGTTTGTAAACTTAGGAAATCTCTTTATGGCCTTAAGCAGTCACCAAGGGCCTGGTTTGAGAGATTTACCATAGCGGTCAAGAAGCATGGATAAACTCAACGCCAGTCAGATCACACCTTATTTATCAAGAAGTATCCTGAAGGGGAATTACCATCCTTATTGTATATGTGGATGATATTATCTTGATAGGTGATAATGAAGAAGAGATAAGTCAGTTAAAGAGTACTCTTGCCAAAGAGTTTGAAATCAAGGATCTCAGTACATTGAGATATTTTGTTGGCATGGAAGTGGCTCGATCCAGCAAAGGTATTTCTGTCTCTCAACTGAAGTATACGCTTGATTTGCTCAAAGAAACAAGTATGCTCAGTTGTAAGCCCTCAGAAACACCTATGGACCCTTCTAACAAACTTGACATGAAGGAGAGTTCTACTTCGGTTGACAAAGGGAGATACCCAAGATTGGTGGAAAAACTCATTTACCTATCTCACACAAGACTGAATATTAGTTTTCCTGTCAGTGTGGTTAGTCAGTTTATGAACAATCCAACTAATGAACATCTTGAAGTAGTTTACACGATTCTCAAATATCTGAAAAAGACTCCAGAGAAAGGGCTGTTCTTAAAAAAGGTGACAGACCGTAACATGAAAATTTTCTTAGATGCCGACTGGGTAGGATCCCTAACTGACCGAAGATCTACCTTAGGCTATTATTCCTATGTGTGGGGAAACCTTGTTACATGGAGAAGCAAGAAGCAGTCTGTAGTTGCTCGAAGCAGTGCTGAGGCTGAATTCAGGGCTATGGCACATGAAATATGTGAAGGAATGTGGCTCAAACGACTCCTAGAAGAACTGAAAATCCCTACTAAAAGTCCAATAAAGATGTTGTGTGACAACCAAGCTGCTATCAGTATTGCTAAAACTCCAGTTCACCATAACAGAACTAAACATGTTGAGATTGATCGGCACTTCATCAAAGAAAAGATCGATTAGGGAGTCATCAAGATAATCTATACTCCTTCAAGTCTTCAAACCGCAGACATCCTCACCAAGGTTCTTAACCGAGATCACTTTGAAATCCTTCTTTTCAAGTAGGGAATGATTGATATATATTGCCCAGCTTGAGGGGGATCGAGTGTGGAAATTCCTCCCTATTTATTCTAGTAATTCACTTATTCCAAAGATAACAATAATAAAAATATCAGAAATTTTTTTTTTTTCTCCCATATATTTCTTTAGAAGAAAAGGAGCATCGATCTCTAATTCGTGAAGTTATGTAGCAAAGAAGATCAAATTACAGCCTCATGAGATAGGAGGTTAAACACTTTTTTTTTTTTGAAAGGTCAAAATCAATTTAATAAAAGGAGATTACAAATACAGGCTAGTAAGCAGTTAGTCCAAATGACAAACACTTGAACTGCTATGAAAGACACCTAAAGTTCATAGGATTAGGTGTTTGGATAGAATCCTTGTTGTTCATGATTGGACCCTTGAGGCAAAACACATTTAAACTATGGACATTTTCATAAATTTTCTAAGAGTTACTAAAAGAAAACCTCCCAAATGAAACATTGATTATATCTGAGGGCTATGGATTAGAGAATTGTTCTTTCAGCTACTAATGAAACAAGCATCTGCTTCTACCTTTTCTCACTTGACTGAATAATAGAGGAATGGATTTTCAATAAAAATATGGAAGGAACCTTAGTTGAAAGTTAGAGCAAGCAACATTTGTATTCCATGAAGTAAACGAAAATACATACTTGACAACAAAAAGTACCAAGGATAATAAACCTTAGTGATGAAATCATCCATCACCACAATAAACTTAATTAATAGCAAAAGTAAAGTGTGCATCAATCTAGTAAAGGCAAAGAAATACATCAGTTTCATGAAGATAGACAGCAATACAAACAAATATTCCAATTAAGGGGAAAAAATTAAGTGTCTAAAATTAACATCATCAGTCAGACCATGGAAAGCTCATTCAAAGAAGATAGACAGCAATGCAAACAAAAAGAAATACATCACTTTCATGACTTCATAAATGATGTTCTACATTACTTTATTTTAAAAAAAACGAATAAATAGTGAAGAAATAAATAGAATCAAGAGATCGAAAGCAGAACACTTCAATGACTTTCTATGCAAAAGCAAAAATGCCCAAAAACCCAATTTAAAATATGGTAGAGAAAAACTTGTAGTAAATAGACAATATTAAATCATGTAATGATAGTATCTGTATGGGTAGTAGTTGCATTAAGCCTTTTTCTTTACCTTGATGCAGAATCAACTCAAACAACTGGTGAGCTATGTGCAATTATGTGTAATATGTATTTTGCCTACTACTAAGGGTCTTTTAGCACGACCAGTGTTCCATTCAAATCCCATGTGCTAAGATTGATGATAGAATACCTAAGTCAAACCATATATAGCTAGCCTCTTACATTTATTTCTTTGTTAGACTCTTTAGTACTTCATTCATAGACGTCCATGGTGTGTCTTAGCTTGGAGATGTTGGTGAGTTTTCCTAAAGATTCTATTCACCCCCCTCTAGAGTCATTGTTGGGCAACAATAATGTGATTACTCCTGAAAAAGTTGGGAAGCCAATTAATCATGTTTGAAACGTACAATTGTTAACTAGTTTCAAAAGTACTACCATGTACACCTGGATTACTTATTTAGTAGAAATTTATGGTCATAGAGTTATATGCAACATAAACAAATTAAATAAATATCTTTTGACTAGTTTCTAATTTTTTTGGAGAATCTTTAATTACTCTTGAACCCCAAACACTAATCCGAAGGCCAAAAGGACTCAAGTTACATTGTGTGGTATATATAATTTAATTTGAGTATGATATATCAGGAACAACTACGACAACCAAAAAGAAGATACCTTATTTTGAAATAGTACAAAGAAAAAAGAAAATAAAAATGCAAAGATCTACAAAAACTGTATGAAAAGAACAACAGATTTGTCTGATATAAGTAAGGCTTATTAAGCATTTATAGAACTTACTGAAGGATTGGAGGTGGTACATTACTGTTTTGACTTGACATCCAGAATCCTCAAACCTCCTGTGCTTGCAGCATCCTTGAGCGAAAAAAAGATTGGTCGGTAGGTAAGTGCATTAAACCCTAATCTACCTTTAACCTTTGCTTTTGGGTAATAAACCTTGAGTGTAGTAAAACTCTTGTTTTTGTGATTATACGAAACTAGAAGATAATCATCATCACATGAAAGCAAGATCTCTCCATCTCTCCAAAGTGTGACTGGGAAAAGATTCATGTGACACGAATCACACACCTCAGGTGGAATTGAGGTTATCAAAATACTGACTTTATTGCAAGACTCAGCTACTCCGTAATCTCTCATGAACCACATATTAAGATAAGGGTGGAAATTTTGATACATACAGGGACAATTTCTTAACACCACCAATGTCATCGGATGCTCATAGCTGTTTATGTTACTCCATTCAGGAAGAGTTGGGATAGAATGGAGTGCTCTTCATCAATATCAAACGAATAGATATTTGTAAACCCCAGATCAATCCAATGAACAGCCCCATTTAGAGTGACATCACACCACTCAATTCCATGTGTTGGCGATGGTGCCTCCCCAACATATCTCCATGTATCAGTTCCAAGAGTATAAACCTCAACCACATTCGAGTAATGATTGGGATAACTAAATCTTAAGACTTTGCAGCGCCCTGTAGTTGGACTAAATCCAAATATGTAAGCCATTCAATAGGAATTTGCCTTTATTTTGGGAAGGACAACGCATTCTCCCAAAATGGGATCCCTCAAACACAACAAGCCATAGGAAGAACCTAATTGGCCAGTGAGGTCGATGAACATAATTGGAGTCCTCTCCGAGCTCAAGCAAATAGAGAGATCCTTCAACCGGAATCACAATATTGTTGACAATGACGTCTCTCGCAAAATAAGGGTCTCCCAAGATTGAGTGTTGCCAGGTTTTACAAACGCTCCTGCATTTCAAGAGAGTCCTGATTGGAAGCCCCGAAAGAATATCAACAACGATGGAGAATGGAAGATCAACAACACAGCTTTGTTTTTCTTCTTCTTCATTGCAATTGCAATTGGTTGAAAGGGTTGTCCACACACTTTCAGTTCTGCGCCTTCTTGTACGCCTTTCCATGGCTTCGGGTGGAAATGATTCTCACCCTAGAAAAAACCTAAAAAAAAAATAACGTTACTTATTGAAAAGAAAAAAGAGAAATTATTAGATGGTCTTGAACAATTAATACTTAATGGATCAGTTAAATTTAGACTCTCAAATTGAAAAAATAGTCCCATAAAAATGTATTAATAAATTACAAAGTTTGATGATCGGAGGGTTTTCATTGAACTGAAAAGTTCACTCTAGCCTCCAAGGTAGTAGAACCAATTTATTTTGGTATACATTTTCTAGATTTTTTTTACTCTCCGAGAAACTACGAACTACCTTCAATTCAAGTAATTTTTAATTTTTTTTTTTTTTTTTTTACTTGGACAGTCGGGGCGGCGAACTACCTTCAATTGGATTAAAATTTGATTGTGGAGTTAGAAATAAACAAATTTATTTGAATTTGAAATGCAACACAGATGAAATTAAATGGAATTTGATTTTTTTTTTTTTTTTCAATGTATATCTTTTATCATTTTGTTTTGAGTAAATTACACTCAGACCCCTGAAGTTAGGTCATTTTTTACTTCTATTAGCATTTTGATTTTAGATATCACTTATATTTGAATTAGTAGTTTAACATTTCACCCAAATGTCAATTTTTAATGAGTCATAATATTTTTGAGGTGTTAAATGACTATGCTACCCTTTGACCTTCTATTAACTTTTTTTGTGACCAAACTACCTCTTTATTTTTCCACATGGCATGGCCTTCTTTTTCCTCTCCTCTTCTTCCTCCTCCTCAGACCATCATCATCCCGAGTCCTGCATTTTGGGGGTTCTTCAACCCATACACCACATAACCTCCATCACCACCGCCATACACCACCACCCCCACCCAAAACCGCCATCACCACCATCCATTACCCAAAATCACCCCTCACCCCCACCCCCACCCAAAGCCAAGGCAAAAAATTAATGAACTTCAGTCCCATCCATCATCACCACCACCACCCCCACCCAACACCTCTATCACCACTAACCCCACCCAAACCCAAACCCAAACTTCAAACCATAAAAACCTAAAACCCCATCCAGTAGACACCGAAGCCCACCCAAAACCGAACCCAAACCCCAACCAGAGTTCGAGGAATGAGAATGGAGTTGTCGAAGATGGAGAGGATGACCGGAATTGCGATGGATTTTCTAACGAGTAACAGCACACCGTTGTCTTCGTAGAGGACGATGCCTTCATATGAGGCTTTTAGAGAGCAATTCGTCACCATCGCAGCCTCCGCCGCTTGACAGTTCCCCATCTTTCACTATCGATCGACGCCATACAACCACCAGCAAGGATTTCAGTTCAGGCATTGTGTGTCTGACACAATCTTCTTCTTATTCTCTGGTAAAATACCCCCATCACTTAAAGGTCGGGATTCGAATGTAATCTAGTCGGTGGAGTCTGGGTTTTTATTATTATTGATGATGATTTGGGTCTATGTGGTAGTGATGGTGTGAGTGTCAACAGAGGTCGATGGTGCCTCAATCGGCACCGCAAAAGATTATTTGAGAGTCATCTGTATTGCATTACTTTAATCTAATCAACATAGTTGAGAACAGCCCACACGGCACCTGATTCAGTCAACCGCCGACGAAGAGCGGAGTCACGCTTGCAAAGACGAGTAAGCTGGTCAAGTGAGCAGATTTTCTGTTGAATCTGAGTTTGGATGACGACAACAAGGTGGGCTTAGTGGCGGAAGGGGCAATTGGCCGTATTGTTGGCGCCTTACACAGCGGGTCCCCTGATTGTAGAGCGGTGGTGGCAACGATGTTGACTAGTTTGGTAGTTGTGGAAGTGAACAAAGCCATAATTGGGGCATATCCATATGCCATGAGAGCTCTAGTTTCACTTCTTCAGGACGAAAATGGTCGTGAAAAGAAAGAGGCGGCAACGATACTCTATGATATATGTTCATTTCCGGATAATCGGAGACGAGTTGTGGATTGTGGGGCAATGCCGATTGTAATGTTTCCGATTTTCGTCATTTTTCATTTTCTTGGATTTTCTTGATTTTTTAGGGTCATTTCGCCTTATCTCGTTTTACGTTCCGGACACCATAGGGTGTGCCAGGTATGTGTAAAAGTTAGTTGAGGCATTTCCTTGAGTTCAGCACTCTTGAAAATGCATTAGTTATCATTTCAGTATTTTTACGTTTTTCGGGCCGGAAGGTCCAAGTGGGACCCACTACCGAACTCAATGAGCATGGGGACTGTGTTACGGATTCATTACATTTCATGCATTATTATTTGATGTGTAAGTATGTGGATGCATGTTTATTTGTGGTTGTTATTTGGTTTGTGTGTGTGTGTGTATATATATATATATATATAAGTTATGTTATTAAGATATTTTCTGGCCGTGGGACTCGCTTCTATTAGAAGTCATTACAATGACTTAGTGGCCATTACCAGACCACATTTTTTTCTCTCTCTCGGTAGTTTCTTTTTCCCCTTTATTTCATCATTTTTCTTTTTCATTTTCTTTCCATTTTGAGCTTAGATCTCTTCCACACTTTTGAGATATTGACTTGGCCACGTAAGGCAAAGTTGATGCCACTTAAGGCAAAGTTGATGAGCGCGTCGAGGCCTACGTTCAAAGTTAAATTTGGCCACCTTTTGGATTTCAAATTTTGGGCCTTTTTCTTCTAATTAAGGTAAGGGTAGTCTAATACACAATTTCTTTGATTTTAGTGAATTTCCCTCTTTAAAATTGATTCTAAGTATGCTTATATTTAAAAATTTGTTTATGGTCTTGAGGGTTTTGTGTTTAATTGTGTTCTATGTGGCTGAAATTACATGTTTCCTAGAATGATGTATGAAACATGCTAAATTAGAAAATTATTGTTGCATTGTATGAGTGTAAATTGTTGAAATTATTTTGTTTCAAAACATGAAATATATTTACTACGTTGACTGTGATCGATTTGTTACATGAAAGCATGATGTGATTTATTCCTGGAATTCTATAAAGGCAAGTTATATTGTTGTGAATAATTTTAAAATATTGAAATTTGTATAATGTCATGATTGTATATGGCATGAGGCATTCATGCATGTCATTGGGAGGAAAAAAGGGAAAAAGTTGTTTTAAAAGTAAATAAAAATTATTTTGGGAAAATTATTTTTGAAAAGTGGTTTGCGAATACACGGATGCCTAGGAGGTGCCTAGTGGTTCGTGGCGTTAATATGATCTAGAGGGAACTAGGGAGAGACCCTAGAATGGTTGAGCTACCTAGGTGGTCTGAGCCGTATTGCAACAAGCTAAAAAGTGTGGCCAAGTTTAAATTTCTAGAATGTCACTACCCTTTTCACTAAAAACATAGCAAGAGTGAGTAGGGATCGTCCTAAGGGAAAAGGGTCATGCTTTGGAACCAATTATAGAGTAGTAGGTCGAATGATCAAAGATGGGGTGATTTGATTAAACTAGAGTTCAATTAAAATATGCAAATGACAATCTAGAAATTAGAGGGAAATTAAATGAGAGAGAGGACTTGGAGTTTAAAGTTCACCACTAAGCTTCACTTCACTAGACACTAGCAATTGTGACACTTAAGTTGTAAAATGTGTGTGTGTGTGTCACTAATTGAAAACTAAACATGGATGACAAATAAGCATAGACTGTCTAGTCAATCTAGTGAATAGCACAACCTATCAAATGAGACCAATAACCATTCAATTCAACCACAATTAGAGCACACACAATATTCTAGAGACATGTACTCTTTGCATTCATAAGTATGGAACATCAAAAAATAAGAATGGATTGTCCACCTATTTAATAATTTAAAGCAATTACACTACATTTAGGCTAGAGACATGAAAATTAAACTAATTAAACTAAAGGTGTGGCACAATCCATCAAGAAACAAGTGTGAACTATTGTGATACCCCTCAATTCTAGAGCCACGGGTGATCAAGTCCGAGCACAAATCCGAGGGATATCAAACAATTAATATGTAATTGAACACGGAATACAAAAAGAATTTAATGAATAAATAATAAAAGCTAAAAGAACTCTAAAATATAATCCATAAAATTTAAATGATATAAAATCCAATAACCAAAACCTCCATAAATATCCTCCAATCACTAAACAACTAGGGAATCCATCTCTAGTGGACCCCTAATAAAAATCCCAACTGAAATATAAATCACTAAAATAAAATCCAAAAGATAAAAACTGAAATATAAGAAGCAGTCCTGCATAATCGGAAGAATGAGTGACTGTCTCTGCTCAGGTAGATCACATTTTACTACTGGAACCGCTTGATACCTGAAAAATAAGAGTGGGTCAGACCCATGCGCAAGTTCTATACTACTACAATCCAAACAGAGATCCGATACGCAAGTACATCCTAAGCAATTCAACAATAACTATAAAGTCCGTATATATATATATATATATATATATATATATATATATATATATCCACACTAAAGGACTCTCACTGGACTACAGACCGATCTCAACCTAACTAGTAGGCAACGTGCAAAACACACTTAAAGTGGGCATGAGTACTTAGACCTAACAGGGTACACCTCCAACTATCATAGCCAGCCATGCATCCCAATGCATATACGCTCCCTAACCGTCGATCCTGAGACTCATGCTTATATCGAGGTACCATAATTTTACATATTTAAAATCCATCCAAAAACCATATCAGTGCCGCTCAACTTTTCATTGCCTAGACATGATAAATCAATCGGACTTAACTTAATAGTTAATCCACTCCTCAAACCTAGAGGAGGTAGGACTTAGCGTTTTTGAGCTAATCCCCCTAGTATGCCACCATCCCATACCGGTGCATACAATTCATCGATCCAGTAGTTGATAACACAAATGATAATATAAATATCAACTAATCCATAATAAGTATAATAGAAATATATGAACTAACATGCTTATTTGATACTACTTCACATAATCCAATACTTGACAATACAAACAATATATGTAAATATCAATATAT